GGACAGATCTACATTTTTTGTAATTTAATATTTAAAATGAATTAGTTTAACAGGGCGTCCATCTATGATGACAATATGGCAGGATTAATTGATGAGCTTACCGCTATTCATATATTTTAGTTAATTTTGATAAAGAGAAAAATTATGCCCAGTTTTTGGTTAAAGAACATTAGTATATTGAAAAGTGGATTGCTCATTTTTGATCTGTCGTCGATCTATTCATTGTTTTGATTTGGATTAGTTTTCCTAAATTGCTGATGTTTCTTTTTAAAAAAAATCTACCTTTTATTGTCTCGCTAGTTCTATTCGAAAATCCATTAAAATGGACGTGGTAATCTGGGGAGGCTATGAGTTTAACGGAGAATGTGTGGAGCGAATATTTTTAAGTGGATTATAATAATCGGTGTGGGCGAAGACTGTACCGATGGGCTTTGGCAAGAAATTCTTTATGAAAACACTCCTTATTATAGATATAAATGTCGGCATCTTCGCCATTCCGAGGACGCTTGTTTAGTCCATAGTGATTAAGTGGCTTTTTCATGGGAAAAGTCTCAAAAACAAAAAAAGCGTGAAAGTGGGAAGAGATGGTGTAGGAGAGGTGCCCGTGGTGTCTCGTGGTGGTGCAATGATGTCTAACGTTGGTGCAGAGCAAGGTAGAATTGGAAACAAAACAAAATTGAAGGGTAAATTAATAATGAAGTAGAACCCATCAATCGTAATTTGGTGGTTCAAGAGTGGACGCAACAACTTTTTACCCAAGGAAACGACAATTTTCCTAAAGTGTACATTCATGAAAACTACGATGAAGTTATGGACTTTTCAAATTTAGGGTGCAATACAAATTTACAAGATCTTATTCTTTCAGCGATGAATCTGAAAGTGATTATTAATCGAAGAAATACCTCGTTAAATGATGATGAGTCGTAATTATGATGTATGAAGTGTAGTTCTTTAACTTTGAATTGTACAACACATCTTAAAAAATGTATGTTTTTCTTTCATTGTATTATATTATTTTGTGCAATTAATAAAATATATTACCTTAGACTGGTCAATTAAAAAAGTCCAACATTTTTTACGAAGCGCGTCTCGTAAAGGAATTGAGTTCAGAAGTTCATCACTTAATTATGAAAACTGACTTCATAAAACATTGAATCTTGGTCGAAGAAGACTCAGTCAATAGCTAGAGGCAAATTTCTTTTTGTAACATAGTTCGAATAAAAGCCAAAACAAAGTTCAATAATGTCTACAAAGAGTTAAGATTAATAGTCCACGTAAGAATACAATGAAAAACACCTTATATGGGATATGTATACTTGGAGACAAATACTTGCTTGTCAGCTATTAACGTGATAAATGATGCTTCTGAAAAAAGCTAAACGAGTCCAAGAGAACTTTAGTTTAATTTTTATTTATTTATTTATAAATAAATGTATAACACTTCAATATTAACAAGCAGCAAGTTTTCCCTAATTTGGATACCGTTTCTCATGTACCATGCTGTCAATTTTACAAGACATACGTGCCCTTGTTAGAGTCGTATTCTTCTAACAACTCGTTTTTTCAAAACTCAAGTTTAACTACATATTCTTTAATAAAATAATATTACATACAAACCCAATTTTTTTTTAATTTTCAACCGCACATTCTCCATCAATCTACTATTAAAAATGCATTCTTTCCCCAAAAATGGGGCTCAAACACACTTTTAGTTAAGAATTATTCCAAACGTTGGCCTTGTCTGCCTAGCAGAGCCCTTTAGTTAAAGCAGGCATTGGTCCTTCTCGCCACACATCTCGGTTGGGCAATGAGGTGGCCCATCAATTTGTTCATTTTGCTATTACTTCCCCAATATAATTAAAATTGGGATATTTATTCCTTTACTTTTATCGATCATTATTTCGAGTGGTATCTCTTAATGCAATCTAGTTCATTATGTCAAAAAAAATAATAAAAAAAAAAATAATAATAATAATAATAATAATAAAGAAGAAGAAGACATATTTATAACAACAAATTTGATGGAATTGAGAAATGGGATTGCAGGAAAAAGAGAAAATTTAAGTGAATTGCGATAAGATTTTAGATATTAAGGAACTTTCCATGAAAATTTAGACGAGAATGAAAAGAAAATGCATCTAACAGGGGGATTTTGTGCACGACATCAAATTTGTAGGCATTAAACAATTTTTTCTTCATATGAAATGTGACATTTATACATAACTTCAATAAGAGATTTCTAAATCAGGATATGATTTTTCATTTTCATTTTTAATTTCTCTTCTTCATGTCTCTCATCTTCGGCTGATATTTCTGCTTTTTTACGTGGTCCAACTTGCCAAGATCTTAAAATACTAACAAAGAATCGAGTAATTTATGATAAATTACACAGCTCTTGTGCACGTAAATGAAATGAATTATTGACATTTTTTCTTGAAAACCAATTCGATTAATTAAAAATTAAATTGTGCACAAGGATTGACAATAACATAAAAAAGGTGAAAAATATTACTATAATAACATCATTGTTTTGTGTATTTAATAAATTGTTCTTGATATTTCAAAAAATAAAAAATAAAATAAATACTCATGATACATACATGATGGGCATGTTGAATATGAACTTCAACATTTAAACAAAACGTATATTACCTCTCGATTTTTGTCCTATTATTTTTGTTACATAAATTATTGAAATTAGTTATTAAATATTCTAGTATCCTTTGCAAGCACTAATAAATTTAAAAGATTATTGACCCTACTTTTTTAAACAATAAGTTAGGGCCAAACAGAACTTAATGCGTATTTGAGCCTAGCTGAATAGACAATTGAAGGAAGATTTACAATTCTTGGTTCTAATCTGACCAGTGTCCATTATGGTACCATAAATCCTTTTTTTTGAGGAATCTATTTTCAATCTTGATCTAATTTTGCTTTGTTCTTAGAATTATATGCAACTTGAAGGCTTGTATGCAAGCAGACTGATGAGGTCCCCAATGTATAGTGTCTTTTACACTTGGGTCCCAACTTTTTTCTGTTGACACTTGAAGGCCTAATTTCAGTTTTTGTAGTGATATATATGGTCATTTTGGATGGTCTTGATCTAAATAGGTTTAGGTTTGTTACTGTAGCCTGCATTGACTTATATGCGTTTCTTGATTTCAGGAGGTTGAATATTCTGGTGGAGGCATTCCTCTTTACTAAATTCAGTCCAGAGAATTGAGTTTTGAGTAACCTAATGAACGGAATGTGACTTTGAATTTGAATAAATGTCCCTCGTTTATACCTTCTTGTTAATTCCCCCCCTCCCCCCTCACAAATTTGTGCATGTTTCGTGTTTCTTCTAGCCAAATACTAGATGCTATAGTGGCCAAAACGTATATGATCAATTATAAATTTTAAGACAATCCACTTTACCTCGAGTTTTATAACAATAAATTTGATGAAATGAATAATTTGTTAGAAAAAGCACGAAGCTCGAGTTCAAAAGAGGGGAAAACAAGCGTGAAGTTTTGTCTTGGTAAATTTGATCACAAATTACAAAATACATAGTTGAATATTTCACTATATTTTTCAGTATGATATACAAACATTCCTTTAATGCTAGTGCTCAACTACAACCTTGTAGACAAATCCCACAAACTTATATTGAAAGATGTAGGAGATAACTTGACTACCACTAGGTCGCTCCAAGCTCAGTTAACTCCAAATCAACCAAAACCTCACAAAAACCACCATCACTATTCGAACCAAACAAAGAACAAACACCCAAACTCCAGTTGCTTTCTATTGCCAACGACACAAAGGCAGTCACAAAGGCCAAGAGAAGAAGAGAAATCGAAGAAGGACTCAATTACAGAGAACGGGGGCTTTTCTTATTCTCAAAAGGGAGAAGGTAAAAATACAATAACACACACACACAGCTTCCTTCACAATGAGGCCAATATATAGTTTTAGAGTGTAATAATAGTGGGCTAATATAATGGGCTCATAGACCAACGAGCCGTAAAGGGGCCGAAACATAAAAGCTAGTCATTCAAGAAGTAAATGGGTCGTGAGCAACATTAACTAAATTAAGTTGCTTCCAAGGACCCTCTAATTGTTTTTCGGGTTGAGCCAATTGATTGATTGTGTTGATAGATATTTCACTCATCGGCCAAGTCCTATGAAGTATAATCCAAACCATTTAACATCATTACCCAAAATTTATTAGGTATCAAAATTCAACAAATCTCCACCTTAATGCCCAATAAACCTGCAAGCAATTAAAATACACTGTTTGTATATTGCATAATCAAGGTAACTAATGAAATTGGGATCATAGACCT